TCCGTGCCCTCTCTAATACCCACCACCTGGTTCCCCCAACCTCCCACCCCCCGCCCCTTCAAAATCCTCAGATTGTTTTTCAGAGTCCATAGTCTCTCATGTCCTGAACCTATTTTAAACTAGTGCTCTATCTTGTTTGTTTATATACCACCTTGCACTTGAAAGGATATAAGGTGGTAAAAGTCTTTAATCTTTCAACACATATATTCTGACTTATAAAAATTAAAGATACAATACAAAATTCATGAATAGGCTAATAAAAATGTGATATGTAATTTGGTTTTCTCTGTAAAATTCCATCTCTGACTAGAAAAATATGTAAGCTAAACTTCACTGTAACTCATTTTATTCCGCCACCTGGTAATTTTAGCAATTATTCCAGAAGCAATAAAATTGTAAGCCTAATATTATATGCCCGATAATCCTTTCTCTGAATTTCTTCTCTTATTCACCTAAACTTTCCACATTGTATGTCTTCCTTCTAGAATTTAAGCTTTTGAGATATCTTTCTATCCATCACTGGTAGTATCCCAAAAGATTCTTAATAAACGTTCATTAAAAAAAAGATAACATAGTTCATCAAAGATGACTAAGAGGAGTTTCGCAGTCATAAAGAATATAGACTAGCCTACAATTTCTATACTTAGAAAGTCTCTCTTCAAGCATGAAAATAAATGAACTAAGGAGCAACACTGTGTTGAGCCATGTCAGAGCCTGAGGCAAAAGGAAAGATCAGTACTACTGATTCTGTCTTTATTTAAAATTTTGATACATTATGAGCTTTTTGTATTAACTTTTAATTAAAAAAAAAAAAAGCCTTCGACTGAAGTTAAGTACCTTGACTACTGAATTTCTGGCATCTCTTAAATTTTATGCCCAAGAAGACTGCCCTACTTGCCTCACTACACTCCAGGCCATGTTAAGGAGCCAATTTAAGAAAAAGAAAGATATTAAAAAAAATAATAACAGATTAAAGAAGGATAAGTGAAAACAAGAACTAGTTCTTTAAAGTGATGAATAAAATAGGCAAAAATATTTGGCAAACATGGTTAAATAAAAAATAAACATATGACATTCTATAGACTTACATTTGAAAATTACAAGACAATGTATAAGTCATCAAATTTGAACAGGGGTAAGAAAGAGAACGGAACTGACCACATAAACTAAACTGTAAGTCTACTTTTTTAAAAAGTCACCACGCCCAGATAGTTGTACACTTGAAGTTCTACCTAACAATGAAGAACACATAAATTCTGTTAGACTAATAATTACAGACTGTAGACAATTCATTTTTAAGAAGCTGGCAGAGTCTACACACAAAAACCTAAACAAGCACAAAATGGAAATTATAAATCAATATTTCAGATGTAATTCAGATGTAAAAATTTTAATTAAAATATTGTCTTAGAAAGTTGAATCCAACAGTGTACTAGGAAAAACAAGCTATCATTATGACCAAATAAGATTAATTTCAGAAATTCAAGGATGGGTCATCATTAACAAGATACTTTTTGTGTCCAATTAAATGATAAAAAATGATATAATAATGAAATATTAAGTGGGCACTTGCTAGAATTCAGGAGCAAAACTCTTAGTAAAACATGAATAGAAAAAAAATAGCTTAAACACAAAAAAGATTATTTGTCAAAACATCAGACTGAATGGTAAAAAACTGAAGTCATTCTCATGAAACCAGAAACTAAAAAAGGATTCTGGCTAGTAACATTATTGAAATTTAACACTCTGTAGAAATTCTAACTAATATAATAAGAAAACTAAACATGTGGCTTAAATATTAAAAATGAAGAAATAAGTCTTTATTTGAAGGTTACATTGTTGTATACCTAAGACACCTGACATTGTATTAACATGGTTTCAGTTAATAAGAAATTTGATAAGATGGTAACATAACACAAATATATAAAGGCCGATTGCTTTTCTCTATATTAGAAACTAATTAGAAATGGAAATGGCAGAAATGTGATTAAACAATACTTGGTTATAAATATAATAAGAAAGATATAAGACCTATAGAAATTATATATCAAAAGTTTAATAAAAAACTTAATAAAGGAGATTTATTGGAAACCTTCAAAAAATTAAATCCTTCCTACATTACAAATGTAACATGATGGCAGTTTTAAATCTCAACTGTATCATTCTAGAACTTTATAAACTAATTTTTAAAAATTCTTATGGAAGAATAGATATATTTTTTAAAAAAGAAAAATAGTGAGAGGAACCTTTCCAAATTAGATATTAAAGCTAAATATAAAATAGTATGGCATTGACTTAAGAATGGGAAAACTGGTCAGTGGAAAAGAAAAAGATATTCAAAAATATATCTAAAATAATATATATAAATTTTCAGAAATTCAAAAATACACACACATATACATACGTGTGTGTGTGTGTGTATAAATAAATACATGTTTGGAGTCTCTATTCTGTTCCACTATTCTGCCCATCCTTGTGTTCATTCACATGTATATACACATAAGGTGATAGTGGTAGTCCATTCTCAATGGGAAGAGAGAGGATGGTTTATTTAGTAAATGAAGCTGGCGTAACTGATGATTCATGTCTAGAAGAAAATAAAATTAGGTACTCATTTCAAATTTATCAAATATATCTATCAAAATTAATTTTAGCCATGTTAAAGGCTAATCCTTAGTAAAACAATACTTTATATATTAGGAAAAGAGTAAAGATTACTTGCATCATCTGAAAGGGAGGAAGAAGACAGGAGAAACAGGACTTTGAAAATAAGAAAGGAAACTCAAAGACCACTAATAAAAAGAAGGACAAGCCCAAATGTTTGTCAAATTCTCCTCACTCACAGACACTACTCCCAGAAGTTCTAAATGTTTTATAAATAATACTACCGTATATTAACATTTTGAGGGATATTATTACTGTCTTCTCAACAGTATTTTAAGTAATAATTTTGTTATCCTCCCCCATGGTCCTGCTCAGGTCTTGGGAGATCAACACTGGAAAGAATCTGACCTAAGAAGAACCTTTCAGTATCTAACTGAAAGAGGGGTCTCGGCCATATTTTCCATCTAACACCTAAAACATATTGTGGGCACAAATGGGCAGCCAGCAGACCTCATCACTCTAAAGAATGCAGGCTCTACAGATCCACTGGCTTCTCTGTGACCTAGAGGAACCCTGCTATCATTGGAATGGAAACTGGGTTCTACCATGCAGTGTATCAGCCTGTTCATCTCAGTACAGGCTAAGTGAGTACAGCTCAATGAGTCCAAATTCCCTCTTGATTTCTTCAGTTTGTTACCAACTAAAAGACTGAATACTTTCTGAATTGCTTGTCACAGGGAATACCTGCTCCTCCAAGAGGAGTTAACAAATGTGCCCACCAACAGTGCTAAGATGGCAGACAGTCACCTGAGGTCTATAATTAACTCAACTCATCTGACCCACCTAAAAAACAAAAGTGATTTTCTTTTCCCTTGGGGCATAGCACTTCTTTGCATCTTCAAAAAAAGGGGGGGGGGTATTTCTTTTTCTTTTCTTTATTTCTTTATTTTTTTTGAAAAGCAGATTCATCAGCCCCAAATTATCAGAAAGGACATATCTATATCTACATGGACAAGTACATACATACAACTGTACGCTGACAATTGTGCATTTTCTTAGGTAAGTTTTTGTATATTTTTAAAAAACACGACTTAATTGGGAAATTTTCTCTGCCACTTTCGAAATTGTATTACTTACATTAGAGATCACAAGGGAGTAACTAGCTTAGTAACCAGTTTATCACATTAAAATGTATTTTTAATGTATGCTAATTTCAACAGGCTCATAGGACAGTCAGTGTGCTAATTTAGCGGTCTGCAGTATTGGGAAGAATCTGGATTGGGAACGACTTGTATATATCTCTGAGGCAAGGCACCAGATTATTGGCTGTGTGTTTCTACATTTAGAAAATAGCAGCTAACACTTAGCTTCTGCACAAAAAATGTTATTTAGACTAAGAAGGGAGTATAGCCATGTCAATTATAACATTATTATTCACCTTCAGTCTTAAAAAAAAATTCAAGGAAAAACTTTCTAGAACATGATGGACTCCGTGTGAAGATGTAAACATTTTCTTTTAGCAATATCTGGAATAGCAGATATGTTCTTAATTAAAATCTCAGGATACTAAGCTTATGAGCAATTAAAGTTATCTAAAACCCATTTATTATTGAGAGCTGGTGTTGGGAGGGGCCTAAATAAATCCTTTCTTTTCTCCTTCTCCTTCTCCTCCTTCTTTCTCCTTCTCCTTCTTTCCTTCTCCTTCTCCTTCTCCTTCTTTTTATTTTTTTCCCATATACAGGAAACCACTGGAGAAAGTTGGTCTTCGTAAAGAGACAAGTGGATGATGAGCAATGAAGCCAAAACCAAAAGGTCGATTTTCCAGGGCCCCTCCTTTGTCCTATCATGTATCTCCGTATTTAGAGAAATGGTAAAATAATCAGGGAGACACCAAGCCCTGACCTTCAAATATTAATCATTCTACTAACAATGAAGAGTTATTATTCCATGACACCTTTGAGCAACAGGAACTATGATCACTGCAAAAGAATTAGCAGCACTTTCTAAAAGGGACTGGTCCATTTTAGATTCCAAGATCCTGTTTCAAGGGCAGAGAATCCGGGAGAAGAAAGGCGTTGTGAGGTCTCAGGAACTTGGAACCGACCCAAGGGAGGAATTTCTACAGTTTCCACTCCAGGGCACCTCTAGCGGCGCTCCCGGGTGGGGGCGCGGCCGGCGGCAAGGCTCCGGGAGCGCAGGGCGCTTCCCGGACCCTGGCACCGCTTGGGTCCACTCCGGTCCGGTCCGCTCCGGTCCGCTCCCTGCCCCCCCGCCACTCGTCGCCGCGCTCCCAATCCCGGAGCCAGGCGCCTCCCTGGGGACCGGCCCCAGCCGCGGGCCGCGTGGGCCTGAGGCGTGAGGTCGAGGGTCGCGGGTGCCGGGAAGGGGCGGCGTACCTCCGACTCGGGTGTGGTTCCCGCCGGGGTCGTCGCCGCGGGGGTCGTCCCCCCGGGAGTGGTCCCCACGGACATCCTCAGGATCTCGCCCCGGAGTTGCGGCCCTTCGTCGCCGAGGCAACCGAGGCGGGGCCGCAGGCGCGAGTCTGGGGAACGAATCCCTTCGCGAAGAGGCTTCCGGGTCGGAACTTAGGACGCTCAGTGGGAGGGCAGGGGCGGGCCCGGGCGCTGCCGGGCTGCTCTGCGGGGAAAGACCCCCTCAGGAGCGCTTTGAATCCTCTGGTAGAGACAGACTTGTTCCTTTTAGTAAGAATGAAAGCAAGAAGGGGGAAAAAAGGCAATTTAAATGACAGCAATTTAAGTGAGTTATTATGTGGAGAGGTGTCTAATGCTAGCATAGCAAGTTCTCAGTAAATATTAAAGTGAGATATGTGGGGCACCTGGGCACCTGGGTGGCTCAGTGGGTTAAAGCCCATGCCTTCCGCTCAGGTCGTGATCTCAGGGTCCTGGGATCGAGCCCCGCATCAGGATATCTGCTCGGCAGGGAGCCTGCTTCCTCCTCTCTCTCTGCCTGCCTCTCTGCCTACTTGTGATCTTTGTCTGTCAAATAAATAAATAAAATATATTTTTTATTAAAAAGTGAGATATATTTTTGGAACTTGATAATTGATTTTGGATGTTAAGGAGTCATTGTAATTTTAAGGCGATATTAAGAAAAAAGTTTGGGGCGCCTGAGTGGCTCAGTCCTTAAGTGTCTGCCTTTGGCTCAGGTTATGAGCCCAGGATCATGTGATGAAGCGCTAGCTGCTCCAGAGGGAAGCCCACTTCTCCCTCACTCCCCCTGCCTGTGTTCTCTCTCTCGGTGGCTCTCTCTGTCAAATAAATAAAATCTTGAAGAAGAAGAAGAAGAAGAAGGAGAAGGAGGAGGAGGAGGAGGAGGAGGAGGAGGAGGAGGAGAAGGAGAAGGAGAAGGAGAAGAAGAAGAAGA